GGCCTCAAATTAGAGTTAATTTGCCAGGTCGGGTCGGGTCGGGCTTGGAGACACCAATTAAATTGGGCTGGGTTGGGTCAGCTTTTTTTTTTGGCACGAACAACCACTTACTGAACTGCCATGTAAAATCTAGCTTTTCTAACGGTCCTGTAATTTTTCATGTTGTCACATCCTCACTTCTTCCTGAACTAAAGCTATCATTTCACAATATTTCCCAAAGCCAACCAGGTACCCCAAAGAGAGACAGAAAAATCCAGAAACTGACCAATGCCATCAGAGCATTCACCTTCACCAACCTACTCCTGGTCTTCTTCGGGATCATTTCTTTGATTGACAACTTGCCTATACAGGTAAGAAAATGCTGCACAACAAGAAAAATGCTACATAACACTAAATCAGGAAGAAAATTTYAATCCAACAAATGTGAAAAATGACACACCTCTTTGATTCTGAGACATCGCATATCGTAAGAGTAAATGGRTTGGTCCCTGTAGGTCTTAAAAGGGTGATTTGGATTTTTTTTTTGAAGTGAGGTCCTGTGAAGTAGTTATCAGTATTTAGTTGTAAACATTTTTAGCAAACTGAGTTTCTAAAAACAAGGACAAACTTTGATGTTGAAATCAGACCAACAGTCACACCGGGGTCTTAGTTTGAACAGGACATCAAGCAAAAACAACGACTTCAACTGAAACTTATTAAATTTACATGCTGTTCCTGATTTCACTATGAGGACAATCCACTGTCTACACATGTTGCTATAAAATGTTGTGTAGTAGCTCAAAATATGTTTTTTAAGATACAYAAGGCAAATGCAAAATTCAAAGGCTGATAAAGATGTGGAAGAAAACTGGCTTCCTGCTCATACTGCTCACTGGTTTCGAAGCTGAATGTACACACCCATGAACATCTTCACCAATGAACCCCAAATTGTATGTTGTCCAAATCCACAACTTGTYTTAGCACCAGGCTGAAAAATCCAAAATGCTTTACCAAATCCATTTTTCAAGATGGCTGCCATGGTGGTCATGGAAAATTATTTTTTGCACTAAAACTGACAATATTTATCACACATTAATACTTTTGGTGTGAAATCATACGATTAGCAAAACTTGAAAAAATCTGAAAACTAAGCTGACCTTAAGATGGACGCTGGTGGGACAGGTGTGATCAAAGCTCTTCTACTATATATGTACCTGGTTTGTTGATTTCAAACCATCTAAAGTAGATTTCTCTCTTAAACAAGCTGATAATWCAATACAATGTTTCTTTCATGGAGAAATGCCCATAAGTAGTTTGGAGCTACTTTACAACAAACGAACAGTATCATCAAGCCAAACAATGGCTATGGGAAACTTCTGGCTATGACGTTTGTTTATTCTTCTCTCTCCAAACAAATACGGAAAAATACCAAGATTACTTCATGTCTACAACAGACTTGTATTTATCATCCCAATCTGTTTATTATTATCTGGAGACATACATCCATATCCAGGACTGCACCACGTTACACTGGATAAGAGGCCTGTAGAGGAGTGCGCTACTACTGTCCTACAGGTATGCCCACCCCATGATGTGTTGCAGTGTATTCCTGCCTTTGTCACYATTCTGTTCAACTTTTATGGACAGAATTTCTAGGTGCAGCCAAGGTGTTGAGGGGATCCTTATTGGTGATCTCAGGATCACATCTCTGCTTTTTGTGGACGATGTGGTCCTATTAGCTTCATCAGATCATGATCTCCAGCTCTGACTGGAGTGGTTCACAGCTGAGTGTGAAGCGGCCGGGATAAGGATCGGCTGGAATAAGGATCTGTGCCTTGAAATTCAAGACCATGGTCTTGAGCTGGTAAAGGGTAGGGTGCCTTCTCTGAGGTTTAAGTATCTCAGGGTCTTGTTCACGAATGAGGGAAGAATGGAGCGGAAGATCGACAGACGAATTGGTGCTGCATCTGCAGTGATGTGGGTGCTGTACTGATCTGTCGTGGTGAAGCGAGAGCTGAGCCAGAAGGCGAAGCTCTCCGTCTACCGGTCGGTCTATGTGACTGAAAGAATGAGGTCACGGATACAAGCAGCTGAAATGAGCTTCCTCTGCAGGGTGTCTGGGCTCTCCCTTAGAGATAGGCTGAGAAG